CAGAGACAGAACAATCAAAGCCAACCACCCAGACATTGTTATTAGAGATTGCATACAAAAAAGGTGCCTCCTTATTGATATGGCAGCCCCTGCAGACTGCAATGTATTTTTGAAGATCTTCAAAAAGCTATAAAAATACAAGGACCTTGAAATCGAAATCTCAAAAATGTGGCACATTGGAACATCAACAATCCCTGTTGTCGTTGGAGCTCTCGGATTGGTTGGAAAAAATTCCAGTAGACTAACTGAAGGGATTCCTGGGAGCCCATGCCGTAAAGAAATACAAAAAAAATTGTTCTCACGAGTACAGCCCATACCTTACGAAGGGCTTTCTCTATGTAAAATATGTTTTTTTTTTGCAGTGGAAAATGTCGTGATGCCATTTCTAACCTTAGGTTCCTGGGCGGGACACGGAAAGAGATGAGTACACATCAGAAATCATAGGAAATAAAATAATAATAATACAACGAGCTTTAGATAGAAATCAGTAGAATGTGGCATTTGAAGACAACAAAATTACTCGTTGTTGTTGAGTGTTTGGGAATGATACCAAAAGAGGCTCTAATAAAATAAATACACGGATCAAATTCCTGGTAGCGCTAAAATATGTGAATAACAAAAAAAAAATATTCGTTTCTTTTTATGCAGTGACCAAATCTACACGTTATTCTCTTTGATTGCATGGCACCCCGTCTGTTTGGGTCTTCGGATACAAACAAATTTGCTGCCTCTTGAAATATCTGGTTTAACTCGTCCGACAAAAATTAAAGGTAAACCACAATAATGATGATGATGATGATGATGATGATGATAAACCACATATTTATTGAAGGCCACGAACGCACTGATGAGAGTTCAAAAGATGTGAGGAGATTTGCTTTGAGAAAACAAATCAAAATGATTTAAAATCTAAGGTTATAAAGAGCGAGGTAGATTAAAAAAACAACAACAAAAAAACAACAACAACAAACACATCTGATGCGAATAGAACATGCACAAGTAACCCCCACCCCACAAAAGGACCTACAAGATGAACTAAACAAACAAAATTTGAAATATTTCTGGAAGTGAGAAAGAAAAGGAAGCAAGAGACCCGTGAATTAAAACGTAAATCATGCAGAGTCATTTATTTGCTGTTCACAGGTAAGAAAAATATCTATCACACACACGCGCGCGCATGCACACACACATATGTATATACTGTAGAATCCCTGACAACCGGACTAAGAAGGCCTTCCGGATATGAGGAATTGGTTACAAAGTCCTGATATGAGGGTTTATATCTTACTTATTATAAAACGCAGATTGTGTGTTTGTGTGTGTGTGTCTGTAACGTTTATATATTGGATCAGATTTCCTACATTTTTTAGCCGATTTCAACAAAACTTCACAGGACTACATAAAATTACCTTGTGGTGGTTCTAATGGCGCCGAAAATGGGAAAAACACAATTGTTTTTTTTAACAAAATCAATTTGAAAACACGATTAAGACACACCGTGAGAATGAAAGGGGGACAACTCACATCGGGTTAAAAAACCCAGGTTGTTTGTGTGTGTGTGTGTGTGTGTGTGTGTGTGTGTTCCTTTATATATGGGATCGGATTTCTTACATTTTTCAGCCGATAAAACAAACATCCACTTTTTGTTTTGGCAGGTAGTGTTTCTTATTGTCTTGCACACTTTTTTTTTATTTATACATTCAGAATGCTTTAAAAATTCCATTTACAAGACAATTGTTTATAATAAAATTCTAATCTAATTCTATTCAATCGGGGGACTCATCATAACGATTGAAAACAATGTTTTTGTTTGAGTTTGGATTTGACCAATTCGTAAAAAAAAAAAAAACTAAGACATGCATGTCCGTCAACCTTAAACAATAATCTAACGATCTCTACTGATTGTACGAATACAAACATCGGAATAAATTCTTTATCTTTAGGGAAAGATAATGAAATCTAAACATACACAAGTCTAACTAAAAATAATAACCGGAACGGAAAAACTACTTTAAATACACATGGTGTCCAATATTTTTACTGTATTCAATAAGTAAAAATCATAAATTATAAAAATTATTATTACAGAAAGGCAACTAAATGAATAAGATTTGTTAGATCATAATTAATAAACCCAAATAAAGTTAATATTTTTTGTATTAGAAACAACGAGTGGAAAATATATTCAAATCAGAATTCTAATTATGAATCACCACAAGCAAAATATGCAATTTTTATTACTGTATTCAATAAGTAAAAAATCATAAATTGTAAAACTAAAAGATTACAGAAAGGCTACCTACATTTTTCAACCGATTTCAACAAAACTTCACTTTTTTTTGGCATGTAGTGTTTCTTATTCTCTTGCACACTTTTTTTGTTTATTTTTACATTCAGAATGCTTTAAAAATTCCATTTACAAAACAATTGTTTATAAAATTCTATTCAATCGGGAGACTCATAACGATTGAAAACAATGTTTTTGTTTGAGTTTGGGTTTGACCAATTCGTAAAAAAAAAACAAAAAAAAAAACTAATTTAGACATGTCCGTCAACCTTAAACAATAATCTTTGTCAATTTTATTTTTCAGTCTTTATGATGGTCGATACTTGATCTATCTCTTACTGTTACATCCCCGGGCAACGCCGGGCTCTACTGCTAGTTTAGAATAAAATAAAAGAACTGAAATCAGGTTTAACATTTATTTTCAATGTTTTATAGTAAACAAATTAAGCTAATGGTGAATGAAATATACTGGAATTGATTTTAAGAAAAAAGAAATAAATTATGTAATATTAATGAAAATTCTTTAAATCATGTATGCCACGTATGCAAAACAAATAACGTAACGAATATTTTTTGATCGCTGTTGCATGATAATTCTTTCTCTTCTAATGTCATTCTCAACTTTTTCCGAATTTCGTTTTGCTTTTGTTCTTGAAATTTTTTAAACGAAAGACTTTTCTTTTTAAACTCTGCGTGCGTTATTGCAATCGTCATAGCCGAATGATGGCTTTCTTTTCATAAAACCGACAACTTTTTTAATAGCTTTTTTTCAATTTCAGTCCAGGTTTCATTACAATTATGCATCTCGTCGCTATCTTGTTGCAGATGTGTCTCGTCACCCTTTCCTTTTATTCCCATCATCTTTTGCACCAATCCAAGCCATTACGGTGAAATAAGAGTAAGCAATTATCAAAAGTAAATTTCTTGAAAACCAGAAATTTCAAATCAGTTACATATTAAATAGTTCATACACATCAAAATCATGTCCGAATATGTGGGATTCCGGATATGAAGCACTCCGGTTATGAGGGATTCCGGATATGAAGCACTCCGGTTATGAGGGATTCCGGATATGAAGCACTCCGGTTATGAGAGATTCCGGATATGAGGCACTCCGGATATGAGGGAGTCCGGATATGAGGGATTCTATCCATTATTTCTTATTACTATAAATGTTATTTTTAGTGGCTACACGTGTTTGAGTTGACAATCTTGATTTTTTTATTTTTTTTAAACAGTGAAGGCATGACAGCCTCCTGTGACCTAACAAGTACGCTTCGACTGTAGGAACAGTTGCCTTGGTAACAAGTAGATACAGGTTCTACTCCCGTCGGGAGGGGCGTTTTTCTTTAGATGGACTTCTTGATCTCGGGTATTTGACATCTGCTCCATTGTTTAATACCCTCCTTACCAAAAAAACAAAAAACAAAAAAACAAAAACAAAAAACAGTAAAATCAGCTCAAACACGTGTACTCACTAGAATAACGTTTACAGTAATAGAAAATAATGTCGGATAAACAAATATTATATATATATATATATATATATATATATATATATATGTGTGTGTGTGTGTGTGTGTGTGTGTGTGTGTGTGAGTGTGTAGAATAGAATATATTTAGGTAGCAAGAATTCAGCCAAGCAAGTTTTGTTAAATTCAACCGGCAGTGTTTTGGGGATAAAGTGTCAGAATTTAATATTTTTGTTCTGTTTTTGGTTTTGATAATGTATCAGAATTTAATATTTTCTGTTTTTGTTCAAATAATTTCAACCGTCTCAATTATCAAGAACTGGATTTTGCTAGTGAGATAGCCCAGATTTTGTTGGCTCTACCCTGGTAATTTTTGGAGTGATGGGATTCGAATTAGTTAAGTAATGTCGGATATAAAACGGTTAAATCGAGCTTGACTGTACCGGAGTGTATTGTATAATATATTTATACTTATTATTGTTAGTTTGTACGCAAAAATAATATTTAATCCACACTTCAAAATACTGCCTTCCGTGGGTTTCTTCCTTTGAATATTACTGTCCATATGTCTGTAGTAAAAATACAATGATCAACATGAGTCTAATATTAGTATATAATATCAAAATAAAATTTAGCAATCATTGCACGGAAAGTCTCAAAATTATAGATGCTTTTATGATTGTAATATTTGAGAGTGATTTCAACTGTAAATTTATTGTTTATAAATGAATAGGAACGAAAGTGTTAATAGCATATGTTTGTTTTATGTTGGTCTCAATTTAGTTGCCAACTGATATGTATGATACTAAAATCTCGCCAATAGGTCAATTCGTACAAAATACCAATTTTTTTCTCCACCCGTCTTAAATTTAATCTTTCTTTTTAACATCCAAGAATTCAAGACGGAGTCAAAAATTACCAATTCCATTTAGCCAATGCAAATAGCAAGCATCAGCTGTTGGCCAAATCCTTTAATAAGAATATCGTTTATTGTGTTTGAACAGAAACACTAAACAAGGATGACATTCAGGAAGCAAGGGAGTGGCTAATTGGCGCTTATTTTCCACGCGCCACTCTCTGTCTCCATGTCTTCTGCGCCGAACAATAGCAGGTGCACGGAACACACAGACATTAATTATTTAAATCGCCAAAGATTGTTTAATAGTTGACTCACTTCATATTTAGTCTTCTTCTTTGTGAAGTGTCCTTTTAGGAAGTATATGATTATGGCTCTCCAGGCTTGCCGCCACACCACGCTGAAACATCGGTTCCCGTACGATCACCGAAGTTAAGCAACGTCGAGCATCGGTACCTAGATGGGTGACCGTTTTGGAATATCAGGTGCTGTATGGCTGGATGTGTAGGTGGTGTGATGAATAATGGCTCGGAATTGTTAATCGTAGAGCCGGGTTCCAATTCCCGTTAAGTTCGTTATATTCACTTACGCGCAAAACCCCTTGGAAACGTCTGATTCTCCCCCAGCTATATGGTAATTAGTAAAACTTGTATCACCAAACCATCAAAATCCAGAGACAATTTAATTGGACCTGATCTGGCATCTCGCCTACAGTCACTTTCTCTCAGACGTGCCATTGCCTCCCTCTGACTTTTCTACAAGGTAATTGCTCCGACGAGCTGCTTTTTCTGGTTCCCAAACTGCATGAATTTAAGCGTGCTACTAGGTTCACATTTCAGTCCCACCCTTTTACTGTCGAAACTGTTAAATGTAGCCGTCTCTTCTACTCCAACAGCTTCATGTCTCGCGTCTGTGGGACTCCCTTTCTCTTACTTGATTCCCAGATAGCTATAATCTTCAATTATTCAAATGCAATGTCAATTGACGTTTTCAGATGCCTTGATCTAATTCCTCCCATCCTTTCTCCCCATCCTTTTCTCCATCACCCCTCTTTACTCTTGCTCCCACTCTCTGTAACCCCCTGCTTGCTACTGGCGCTCCCGCTTTGCTTGGGGTGAAATGCTTAAAAAAATTATTCTCCCTCCACCCCTCACAAATTATTACAATCTAAAAATATTTCCTGGCTTTAAATAACCTGCAAAGGGTTGATAAACCGTCGAATACGAATCAAGCAATAAAAAAAACAACCTCCTATCCTTTGTAACTGTTGGCAATTTTTTTTATCCTTCTCACTACCTGTTCTGCCATCCATTTAAACTAGATCGTTAGGCATGTTCATTGTTTCTCTCTTTTTATATTGCTTTTAATGTGGCCCATGAGTGTCACATTATCTAATCACTCTTTCCTCAGTATGTGTTCCCGAAATTTCAATTATTTCTGGTTCTAAATACAACTGTCCTAATTGTTTGGATTTTCCTTAAAGATTCCTGGTTTCTCACATGCTACATCTCAACATCCTTCTGTAGAAACGAATTCAGGCTACTTCAGGTCAAACCTTCCTCTGTGAGGAAATTGTCCAACATCCATCGATTCGTCTATCCGTTCTTTTGTTTTAGTTAGTAGTTTTTTAAAAATCTCAATACAGCGTCAGATTTTATTATGCAAATCAAAGTTTTCGCAGTGAAATTGGTATTAACTAACCGATGTTGATAACATTTTCAGGATCTGCTTATTTAATAAATATAACATGTGAATTTCAGTGTATTAGACATATTTATTGGATCGGAAAAAAAGCACGTAGCGTTTTTAAGTGAATTTGAAAGAAAATATTGGGATATTTGTATATAAATGCATTCAATCACATATATGCCATTTTGTTCCACCACCGTTCGCCATTTTTGAAGCGGTTTCATGATTCCTTCCTTCCTTCCTTCCTTCCTACGTTTTCCTTTCTTCCTTTCAATTTTCCTTCCTTCCTTCTTTCCTTCCTTCCTTCCTTCCAAAACTTGCAATCTTTCTGAGTAATGGACTAGTTCAAGTAGTTTTTACAGGTTTCCAGAGAATTCGTTGATTGCAGCCTTTAATTGGTTCAGTTGGAACCAGTATTTGTCTGAATTCAACATTCTATTTTGAAGAGATATATCATAATACACAATAACCTTCCAATCTTGATAGATAGACAGCACCAACTTTTTTGGATGTAGACTGGTTAAAAGTGACTCATTCCATTTTTCCTTGGTCTTTCTTCGCTTCAAATTCGTTTTTCATCGCCTTTTCCAAATTGGGTTGTTTTTGTTACATTTGAGTAGAGAATCTCAGATGGAAATGCGGTCCATTAATTTACGAGTCTCCCATATATCGTAGCGATTCCCGTACTCATGTGTTTACAAACGCCTTACAACGTTCACACTCTTTGGGTCCTGTTACTAGGTGAGTTCAATACCCGGTTAAGGCAGTGGAGAACTTTCAGAGGGAAATTAGCAGGAGATAACTGATAACAGACATCCATCAAACACGGCACGTGGAACTAGAACAGTCTACCCAAATGAGCGAAATAAAGGGTTCAGTTCGACATTCCAACCACCTGAAGAAGGCCGGAGCGTACAACGGCCGAAACGTTGTAATAAATATGGCGACGAAGATGATAGTCCGAATAATGTAAATAATGTACATAATACCTCATCTCAGAAATATAGACAGACTCCGACAGAGACGTTTAATATTTCCCATTGCAATCCCCTGTCCATGTGTTTTGTCTGATCTCCATATATCTTGGATGTCATCTTACTGATATACCACTATAGTTAAATTAGAAAAGGTGTAAACTACTAACCCATAACAGTAATACTTGCCCATACTTGTTTCTACACTCTTTCTACTTTAACGATTTGCCCAGGAACATTCTCAGATCGTTTGTAAATATATATATACAGATGATACAACAGTTCATGAGTGCACCTCCAAAAATCTAGATAATCAGAGCCTGTCAGCTGATCTCTCCTCTGAATGAACTCTAACAGCTCAATGAGGAGACGACCAGCTTGTAACATTCTATACTTCCCAAATCAAGCTAGCAATGTTTAATCATTACCGAGCAGAACCTGAAATTTCTCCAGTCATAATGAATAAACTTCCTTGTTTTGAACGTCTAGTCGGTTTCAAGAACGTCAAGTGGAATTCATATATACGATCGACTGTTAAAGAGGCGGAAAGTATATGCTGCCTTTTGACATGGTGTACCTCTACAAGACTTAGATCAAAAAAGAAATGGAGTATTGCTGCCATAATTTGGGCTAACACTATTCAACCCTCACTTTCCAGCCTTGAAATAGTTCAAGATCATTTACGCGGCCTTTTGAGGGATTAATTATTTTCCACCGTTAAGTTCTTTTAGCGCAGACCGCAACATCGGAAGGCTATCGTTAGTGTCATGTGAAAGATTCCAAGGAGGTCCATTCTTTAGTGCTACCAGTCCAAACCTTTGCAGACAAAACTCGGCTTGCTACGTCCACAAGATTGAATCATCCTCATTCCTTATGTATTCCTTTGGTAAGGAGGAAGTTTCTTCCAAAAAACCGCTACTTTCTGAGACAGACCCCCACGTGGATGATTTTCCGAACATTACAATCTCATCTTTTTTCAATTCCAGCGCCATTCGTTACCTATACACCCTATTATGATCATCACTTACTATTTTTACGTTCATATCACACAAACGTTATTCAGAAACCCCCTTCTTTGAGTGGCTCTTGGATCTTGTATTGATTGAATATTATTTAAAAAAAGCGAACAACAGCTAAAAGCTAATGCCACATGCATTTTCTTGACAGTTTCCAATCTGAATCTGGAATATTCCATGTATATGTGTATGTAGGTCTTTACACATTCCAGCCAAATATGCGTTCATCTGTGAAAAAGATAATGAACGTCGTAATATTCCTGCTCCACTTACAATAGGATAAATCCAGCCTCAATCTCAATATTCACAACATGTCCGTTCTGGTCAAATATGACGAATCCAGCATAGATCGTTAGAGAAGTACCGGGTTTTCTCCGCCAGAGGGAGTTCTGTAAATTTGCTGATTGGATGAAAACAAGAAGAAAGTTGATATATTATTGAACGCTGCCGGTGAATTGGCTTCGTATATATTTTTTGTTATATATTGTGTTGTTTTCGTTAACGTCAAAGAAGGAAAAGTAGCCGGATGACATGTCTGTCGTTAGTCTCCTTCCGATTCGCTGTTTTAGCTGATCGATTTCGAGATTAAGGCAGAGAGAATAAGAAAATAGCAGATAAATTGTAAACAATAAATAATGTGAGGGTAATTAAGCGGAAGATCAAAGAATATAGAACGAAAGAGAAAAATAATAAGAGAAGAAAGAGAAAGAAATGGAGAAATGCGAAAATGTGGATAGAAAGAGAAAATAATAAAAGACAAAAGAAAAATTAGAATGGACAAAGAAAAAGATGGATAAAAAGGAAAAGAAAAAAGAAAAAAATAAGAGAAAAAATGGGCAAAGAATAACGTGGATAGAAATGAAAATAGAAAAGAAGGAAGAAAGATTAAGAGAAAGAGGGGATAAATACGAAAACGTGGATAGAAATAAAAATAGAAAAGAAGGAAGAAAGAGTAAGAGAAAGAGGGGATAAATACGAAAACGTGGATAGAAATAAAAATAGAAAGGAAGAAAGATAGAGTAAGAGAAAGAGGGGATAAATACGAAAGCGTGGATAGAAATAAAAATAGAAAAGAAGAAAGATAGAGTAAGAGAAAGAGGGGATAAATACGAAAACGTGGATAGAAAGAAAAAATAATAAAAGGAAGAAAGTGTAAGAGAAAGAATGGACAAAGAAAAACGAGGTAGAAAGGAAAAAGTAAGAAATAGTGAGAGAAATATTGGAAAGAATGGACAAATAAGAAAAAAATTAAATGAAAAAAAAAAAAAAAAACTCACACAAGATAGCCTTCTATGTTGGCAGAGGTCGTTGCGTACTTCCGAATGACGCCAATGGCCAATAATCGATTCTACGTAATAAATTAAAAAAAAAAGAATAAGACAAAAAAATCCCAGTATTTCGAATGCAAACCTGCCTGGATGGGTTATTTAATATTTTCCCTGCCTCACCAGTGAGAACCGAATTCACAACTCGGTAGTAATGGTATGCTAAAACAGACTAACCCCACCAAAGATTATCTTGCACCGATGTTCCCCACGCATTTGGATGGTCGGTCCGACACAATTTTTGTCGTGTTATTTACATTCGTTTACTCTTTGTGCTCTACTGAGATTGGCGAGACAAATGAGAAGAAATGAACGACAGATGTGGAAAGAAAAGAGAAAAGTATATATTTTTCTCACTTTAAACGCCATTTTTAATGCATACTCGTATTTGAGTAGACATTCCGTACGTTTATCAAACAATATATCTATCGACCTGAACGTTCAAGAAGACTTATTAAAGAAAGACTTGCGCCTTCCGATAGGTTTCAAAG